TCATTGGAATGCATTGGACGGAAAGTTCAATACATTCCAATGAGAGAAAATTCAAAAAATCACCAAAAATTAAGGACGACTCAGAACAACACCAAATTAAGTTTGCATAGGGTTCAGGCGGTGGGCTAACGATTGCAAGCATTTAAAACCTGTTCCAAACATTGTAAGGCACTTTTAAATGAGCAAAAACGGACATTGGAAACAGCTTCAAAAGCAGGGAAAGGGAGATCAAAGATCCCTTTCCAATGTCCATTTTCGCTCATTTAAAATAAAGTTCAATACATTCCAATGAGAGAAAATTCAAAAAATCACCAAAAATTAAGGACGACTCAGAACAACATCAAATTAAGTTTGCATAGGGTTCAGGAGGTGGGCTAACGATTGCAAGCATTTAAAACCTGTTCCAAACATTGTAAGGCACTTTTACAGGAGTGAAAAAGGACTTCGCAAAGCCATTGAAATGTATTGAGTCGGCTTCAATACATTCCAATGGAGGAAACATTGTTTCACTCAATGATGTTTCCTATGGGTTTTTTCACTTAAAGACGGCAATCTGTTCCAATTGGAACGGATTAACCGGTTTTCAATTCATTCCTATGGGAAATGGTGTTTCACAGAACGATGTTTCACACAACGGTGATTTTTTAGGAACCAATTAACATCGTTGTGTGAGGCACGACTGTATTAGCATTAAAAGTCTATCCCAATGGCCAAGGTCTTTGTAAGACCTTTGCTTATCATCCAGTTGCTAATTCTCTACAGCTATACTTCAATATCAATTCTGTCACTGTGTTGGAAAACAAGAAGAAAGTCAATGTGAAGGTAGTTTTCCTATCTACAATGCAGTATACCAATTTCTATTTGTCACTGTCAAATGACAACTATGATCTTTATTACCAGCTAGGGGAGAGCATAAAAGCAAGCAAATCCACGAAGTTAAATATCTTTTGAAGCCAAAAAATAGAGCAAGTCTTTCCTGGCATGCCTGAAGAAAAACATACTGACTTCCTGCATTCTAATTATCTTCCTGCATAATAGTCTGAAACATGGCAAATAAAGAAACCATAATGCAATGGTTTTGAACTGCTGATCATGAGGAATTCAAGTTATTCATTTAAGGCTACCATCTGAGGCAAAGTTGACAACTAGCCTCAGTCATTTAAGCACTCTGAGACCTGTTAATTCTGAGTCTCTAGTTAACCTAAAACATTGCAATCAGAAGCAGTGAGAAGTTACTAAATTAGAGCTGGGCAAAAAAAAAAAAACCATTCCAAACTCATTTTGGATACAAGTTTAAGAATTCAATTTTTACCATTGGGAGTAACATTTATGCACTCTCGTTCACTCTCTCATGGATAGATAACTAATTGAAAAACTAATTGCATATTACTGGTAAATAAGATGAAAACCACTATTTTGTCAACATAATTTCTAAATCTGTATCTCACGATTTGTTCCTTCTCCCCAGAGTCTGAAAGTTACTTGACAAAAGCAAACTCTGGCAAAATGGTATGATCAAATCAGTGAAATATATCCAACTGCAGTTTGGCACATATGTTAACCTAGCACAATTTATATGTCAATGAAATGGCATGACTGTTGGCCTTGGCTAGATTTTGAATCTTTTTCTAATAAGGGTTTCTGTGTTTTGCAAGAACAAATCATGATGCATACTTCTGACTTGCCCAAATGTATTCCAGGTAAAGTCAAGACCAATAGACAAGGATGATGGCTAGATAATGTGTGAATGGCTATATCTGTGCACCTACAACTATGGCAGTACACTTGAATTAGCTGAAGAAAATCATACTTAGCCAAGTAGTGCAAACTAGACTATTTAAGGTCATCTTGCTACTCAAGATTGCTGGATATAATGACAAAAGTATTGTTCTCTAAGTACTAAAGGCAGAATCAATTATTACACCATGGGCCCCAAATTCTGCATATTCTGTGGAAGGTGTCATACTAGACTATTTAAGGTCATCTTGCTACTCAAGATTGCTGGATATAATGACAAAAGTATTGTTCTCTAAGTACTAAAGGAAAGGCAGAATCAATTATTACATCATAGGCCCCAAATTCTGCATATTCAGTGGAAGGTGTCGCAGAGGTCTTCATGCATATATAATTATGGTGTGTTCACACAGGCTGTTTTACATAAGCTACCCAGGCTCTTTCACACAATGGGGAGCCCTGCATGATGAGGAGGAAGTGCACAGATCAGAAAAGCCTTTCACATTTTCCACTGAACACAAAGGAAGGCACAGATCACTCTTCCACCATCCTTCCAAGCAAAGGTATGAAAAGGGCTAGAAAGGCAGAATCACTTTTGCACTAACAAAAAATGTAAATTTCATTCATACCTTGCCATAGTAACAAACTTATGAAAGTCTTCAACATCCACACCTTCCTCCTCCTCCTCCTGTTTCTTTGCTAATTGCTTCTGAGCCATTTGATCAGTTTCCTGCCAAAAAAGGAAAAGTAAAGTTTTCCTGAAAACTAGTCTACTTACACATATATTATACGATGTTTCGGAAGCTTCCAGATGTAGTACTGAGAAGGGGGCACATTAGGTCCAGTCCATACACGCAAAACTCAAGTTACATTGGGGACTCTATTAAGCCTCATTGCTGACCCTGGACTAGAGAGATCAATACAGGATGACTACAAGCAACACAGCAACATTTTCAAGTTTTTCTCTGAAGGAATGACGACCAGAAACACATTTTAAATGAGACTGCAGAAAGACATTTTCAAGTTTTTCTCTGAAGGAATGAAGACCAGAAACACAAATGAGACTGCAGAAAGTTTATGTACAGCCATGGCCAAAAATTCTGACAGAAAATGCACCCTTCTCTCAGACAACTGTTGCAATTGCAAATGTTTGGGTACTCACATGGTCATTTCTTTGGTTTGCATTGGAACAACACAAAAACACAGAGAAGAAAAATCAAATCTGATACAATCCCACACAGAAACCTAAAAGTGCACTGGCCAAAATTATTGGCACCCTGTCTAAACTGTAAGAAATAATTGCTTTTCAAGCATGTGATGCTCCTTTAATTTCTATTTAGACACACCTGTCACAAGTTAAGAGGTGTTGGCAATATAGTAATCACACTTGCAACCAGTTAAGATGGAGAAAAGTTGACTCAACCTTTAAGTTGTGTGTGACACTGAGCATGGAAAAAGTAGAGCTTTTTGCTCAAGGACATCATGACACCGTTTACAGAAAAAGAAATGAGGCATTCAAAGAAAAGAACACAGTCCTATAGTCAAACATGGTGGAGGTTAAAAGATGTTTTGAGGTTGCTTTGCTGCTTCTGGCGCTGGATGCTTTAACTGTGTGAATGGTATCATGAAATCTGATGATTACCAAAGAATTTTGGGGCACAACTTAGTGGCCAGTGTCAGAAAGCTACGTCTCCACCAGAGGTCATGGGTCTTCCAGCAGGACAATGCACTCAAAAAGCACAGAAATAGCCAGCAATGAGTCCAGATCTGAATCCCATAGAACACCTGTGGAGTTTTCTCAAAACAGTAGTTGGGAGAAGGCATTGTTCAAATCTGAAGGCCCTGGGGCAGTTTGCAAAAGAAGAGCGGTCTAAAATTCCAGTAGAGAGGTGTAAGAAACTCATTCTTACAGGAAGCAATAGATTACAGTTATTTTTTCCAAAGGAGATGCTACCAAATATTAGGTTAAGGGTGCCAATAATTTTGGCCAGTGCATTTTTGGGTTTCTGTGTTGGATTGCGCTTTTTAAAATATTTCCCAAGATAGGATGTCCACCTCGACTCCTTAACATCATCAGGTCCTTTCACAAGAAAATGAAGGGCACTGTAGTTTTTGATGGCTCAACATCAGATCCCTTTGACATCTGAAGTGGAGTGAAACAGGGCTGTGTCCTCATGCCAACCCTGTTTGGGATCTTTTTTGCTGTAATGCTGAAGCATGCCTTTGGAACTGCAACAGAAGGTGTCTATCTCCAGGCTAGATAAAATGGAAAACTCTTTAATCTCTCTAGATTGAGAGCGAAGACCAAAGTCCAGCTGAAATGCATGCAGGACTTCCTCTTTGCCAATGATGCAGCCGTTGCTGCTCTTTCTACTGAAGAATTCCAACAACTTATGAATCGTTTTAGTAAGGCCTGCCAAGATTTTGGATTTAAAATCATCCTGAAGAAAACACAAGTCATGGGCCAGGGCATGGACTCACCTCCCTCTGTTATTATCTCTACACAAGAACTGAAGGTTGTTCATGACTTTGTATACCTTGGCTCAACTTTCTCTCACTCTCTATCCCTAGATGTCGAGCATTGGCAAAGCAGCTACCATGTTCTCTAGACCAACAAAGGGAGTATGGCTTAATAAGAAGCTGACAGCATATAGCAAGATACAGGTCTATACAGCCTGTGTCCTGAGTACACTCCTGTACTGCAGTGAGTCCTGGACCCTTTGTGCATGGCAGGAAAAGAAGCTGAACACATTCCATACGCATTGTCTCCAACACATTTTTGATACCACCTGGCAGGACAAAGTTCCAAATAGAGTAATCCTAGAATGAGCTGGAATTTTAGCATGTATACATTACTGAAACAGCGAAGTCTACGTTGCCTCGGGCACGTCGTGAGAATAGCTGACAGTCGGATTCCAAAGGATCTCCTATATGGAGAATCAGTGCAGGGAAAGTGCCCCAGAGGGAGACCACAGCTGCGATACAAGGATATCTGCAAGTGGGATCTGAAGGCCTTAGGAATGGACCTCAACAGAGAGGAAACCTTGACATCTGAGCGTTCAGCCTGGAGGCAGACCGTGCAGCATGGCCCCTTCCAATTTGAAGAGACCCTTGTTCAGCAGGCTGGGGCAAAGAGGCAGTCCCAAAATGAGCAAAATCAGGGAGGTGGACAGGGGACAGGTTGTATTTGTCTTCAGTGTGGAAGCGATTGTCACTCTCAAATTGGCCTTCTCAGCCACACTAGATACTGTTCCAAGTCCTCCATACAGAGCATGTTAACCATAGTCGCTTGAGACTGAAGGATGTCTATTATGTGGGATTGTATCAGATTTGACTTTTCTTCATTAGGTTTGTGTGTGTGTGGCAAACCAAAGAAATGAACATGTGATTACCAAAACATTTGCAACTGCAACAATTTTCTGAAGGAAGGTGTAGCATTCAGCCCTGCCCTCACCTGTCCATCACAGCTGGGCAGTGGAACATCAGCCAGTGAGGGGACGGAAGGTGGTGCCGAAGGGGGAGGAGCTGGTATATATAAAGGAGTTTATGAGGTAAGAGGGAGATTAGAGTGAGAGATTTTGTGAGCGTGAGTGATGAGTGTGTCTATGGGCCTGTGAGCCAAACAGTCAGTGAGGGAAGAGTCTGTGTGTGTCAGTGAGTGAGAGACCTTGATTAACTTCTTGTGATTAACTTACTTTATTTTGTTAAACCAATAAACAAGTTTAAGTTTTGAAGAATCACATGATTCAGTGATTTATTGGTATTGAAACAGCTATACCTGGTGGCAGCTACCTGAGAAGAAGAGTGAGCACTCCTGGAGGCCTGAGTTGGTAGAGGCTTCAGCGTGCCCGCTACAGAAGGGCTGCATTTTCAGACAGAATTGCAAGGGTACCAATATTTTTGGCCATGACTGTATTATGTGATACCATCTAGAAGTGTTTCTTACACACCAAAGACTTCAAGGTACTATTAGATCACATAGCCCAAGATACTTTAAAAAGCTTACCTCCCACTGGTAAGAGTGAAAAGTATACATTTTGCTTTAGAATTTCAGTGTTCTTTGCCACCACAGTTAAGAAACTTGAGTCCTGAGCTGGCTTTACTTATCTTGCTCAAGGCAAGAAGCCTTTATTCAAAACCTCTGTATTCAAAATATATTCATAGTTATGACAGCTAAGTGAAATAAGCCTGTGCTAGGACCAAATAGAAGTCTTTGTGGTTCAAGACTCTTAATAGCTTAAAGGTTTATTTAAAAAATCTTAACAAAATCTGCTTTCATTTAAAAAAAGCATGTATCATTGTAAGCTGACTTGCTATCTATTGTGTGTTTTCATAAGAATTCACAAATAATTATTATGAGAAATAATTATAGTACTTTGAAAAGTACCTCAAATATCTAGATTCTTCAATATTGTGCCGATTTTGTGTGCTAACTGTCAATATAACAAGAAACAATTCATTATTCAATCCATCCTCCACTATGGTTAAATATGTAGTTTTGTCTACAGAGAGAGGGGCGATGAGTTGTTCCACTCTGAAATTTATCCATTCCATTCACAGGTGATAGGGTTGTTCATCTATTTCATTTGTTTAGCATCCTCTGATTAATCAAAGCTAAACATTAAGTTTAAAAGAAGCTCTTCCAGCCTGTGTAAATTACAGAGTTTCCAAATGTTGGGAAATGATCTCTGCTACAATGGAGTGGTGAATTCATCAATTATGTCTATAAACAAGGGCATCAAGGACTGAACTATGAGGTACAGAGAACATTTGCAGACTAATAGCTGCACTCAGAGTCCCTGGGAGGGGTTGTAACAAGTGCTTGTGAACATGAAGAGTAAACAGGGAGGATCTGTGTGGGTGTTTAACAGGCGAGTTTGTGGGGAAGCCAGGGTTATTTCCCCACTACCTGCATGAGACAAAATACATGAATGTCAAAGCACCATATGCAAGACTTGCCAACACCTGTGGAATGTTTGTTTTCCTGCCTCCGGATCTAAGAGTCTAAATCTGCAACAATTACAAGCTGACTGACAACTTCTAGAGGACAAACTATAGCAGTGTGGGGCTTGGGTCTCGATACTTTGGCTCATCAGGGAAAATGAAATGTTTCTGGATACAGACAAGCAGCAAAGTGTCCTGGAAGAGCAACAGAGAGGGAATGCCTGCAGAGAGGAAGAATACTTAGTGCAAGAGGCAAGTTCTGGGAGGAATGTGGCTCAGAGAAACAGAATCATCAAGAAGCAAACTGCAGAACTGATATGAGGCCCTCCACATGGACAGTGATTCTGGGCTGCTGAGTTGCTGCTAACACATCAGCAATACTTTGAAAAGGCTTTTTAAAAAGCCCTCTCAAAGCATCACTGATGCACTGTGACAGTTTGCAATAATTAAGCAAAACTTCTCCTTTCCCCCTAAAGGAGGAAGCAAGATTTAAAGAGAAAGCTCTTTAAATCTTGGCCTAAGCCATTTAACAGTCTTGAGAAATGAGAAGTTTTCCATTTAATGAAAAAGAAGCCTTGATCATGTTAAACAGGGTTGCTTGAGGTGTGGATGCAAAGATCACCCCAAATGACATGCGACAACTCAAAACAATTGTTTAGCACAATCTAGACTGGGATAATTTGGCCATCTAGTTCTATTCTAATTGCTCACTTTGCAAAAGCCCACTACAATAAATTTCCTAGTAACGTTTTATTCTTATTATCCAGTTTTTCAGAGATTATCAGAACCAGATCAAGGGGGGAAAACCACCAGCATTCATCCTTGTTATGCAGCCAGCTCAGAACCCTGCTTCCAACACAGCATCTCTTTTGCCTGCGGCAAAACATATAAATCTTCTGCAGATTTTTTGAGTTGTCTATTTAGTGCTCGGTGATACCTCTTAAACCATTACAATCAGGGCTGATTCAAACACAGGTTCCTACAAAGAAGCTGGAAAGTGAACACTTCTGAAACAAACTTGGTATGTGAGATCCAGAAGTCAAACAGGAATCAAGAATTACATACAAGTAACATGAAAAGAAATTCAGATTATTATAGCAAGAGGCTGGGGATGATTCATGCTTTTGCTTTTTCCACTTTTTTGCAACATATGAACTTGCACTGGGAGCCACAAAAGCAAGAAACACTGACTTCTAGATAATTTATTGCAATGTGGTGTCTCACAGAGGTTGATCGATCATCTCCCCTATGCTGTTCAACATCTATACAAGACTGCTGGGAGAGATCATCTACAGTTTTGGAATTTGCTATCATTAGCAACGTACCGTCTAATTTTCATGTGCAACCAAAGGGGCTGAATGTGATCACTGAGTGGAGGAGGAAGAGAGCTGTGTGGAGGGAGGCAGAGTTGTGCGTGCCCCTGCGCACACCCAACTGAGAGGGAACCTTGGGCATCAATATGCTGAAGACATTCAGCTCCATCCCTCCTCCTCCTCTTCAGTGGTGGAAGCTGTGCAGATCCTGGAGCGCTGCCTGGCCATTGTCATGGAATGGACAAGGGCTAACAGGCTGAAGTTGAATCCTGACAAGACAGAAGTCCTGTTGTTGTTGGGAACTCCTGACCGATTAGATGGCTGTTTACCTGGACTTGAAGGGCTCACTCTCTCTTGGAAGAATCAGGTGCAAAATCTGGGAATGCTTTGAGAGCCAGCTCTCTCAATGGAAAATCAGATGTCAGCCATGGCCAGGTCTGCCCTCGACTCTGAGATCGGACACCACCCCTATCTTTACATGAAGTCCCTAATAACATTGGTCCATGAGCTTGTAATCTTGAGAATAGATTATTGAAACACTCTCTGTGTTGTGCTGACTTTGAAGGCAGTTTGGTACCTGCAGCAAGTGCAGAATGCAGTGGTTAGGCTGGTTTCTGGAACATCACAACTCAATCAAATTTCACCTGCCCTGCACTGGCTGCCTATATGCTTATGGGCCAAGTTCATTGTATATATGTTAGCATTTAAAGCCCTTAATGGTTTAGGGCAGGGGTCTCCAAAGTACGGCCCGCGGGTGACATCTGGCCCACCTGGCCTTTTTATGTGGCCCAGCCGTGTGCGCGTGCAGACATGCATGCATGACTGCGGGCAGGCAGGTGTGCAGGCAAACAGGTGGGCAGGCAGGAGCGTGTGCATGCATGCGGGAGTAAGTGGGCAGGAATGGGGGGGAGTGTGTGCGTATGTGCATGCAGGTGGTTGGGCCTGCACACATGAGGGTGGACAGGAGTGTGTGCATGCCCGTGCATGCGTATTCCATTGGCCCTTGAAAATATTGCAAATATATCATGTGGCCCTCCGTGTGAAAAGTTTGGAGACCCCTGGTTTAGGGCCTTGCTACCTGTCTGAGCCCCTCCCCCTCAAAAAGTCTACCTGTTACATCTGTATCTCATACCCCGGGGTGTTGCAGGAAGCAATCCCAAGGGAGACCCAAAAATCTGCCACTCAAAACTGAGCCTTCTCAGTGGTCATTCCATCACTTTGGAACTTGCTCCCACCTGAGGTACAATTAGTCCCTTCCTTCCTTGATTTCGGGACAGAAGTTAAGACCTGGCTTTTCCCACAAGAGTAATTTTCCTTACCCCAGAGTAATCTTGCTTATTGATGGGACTTCCCCCACCCTCCTGTTTATGCACTTGCCCTATTTTTGTCGTCTTTACTGCATTTATAGAGCTTCTCACTTTGATAGAGCCTGTGTCCTGAGTACACTCCTGTACTGCAGTGAGTCCTGGACCCTTTGTGCATGACAGGAAAAGAAGCTGAACACATTCCATACGCATTGTCTCCGACACATTTTTGGTACCACCTGGCAGGACACCGTTCCAAAAAGAGTAGTCCTAGAATGAGCTGGAATTTTTAGCACGTATACATTACTGAAACAGCGACGTCTATGTTGGCTCGGGCATGTCCTAAGAATGGCTGACAGTAGGATTCCAAAAGATCTCCTGCATGGAAAATTAATGCAGGGAAAGCACCCCAGAGTTTGACCACAGCTGCGATACAAAGATATCTGCAAGTGGGATCTGAAGGCCTTAGGAATGGACTTCAGCAGATGGGAAACCTTGACATCTGAGCATTCAGCCTGGAGGCAGGCGGTGTAGCATGGCCTCTTCCAATTTGAAGAGACCCTTGTTCAGCAGGCTGAGGCAAAGAGGCAGTCCCAAAACCAGCAAAATCACGGAGCTGGACAGGGGACAGATTGTATTTGTCTTCAGTGTGGAAGGGATTGTTACTCTCGAATTGATCTTCTCAGCCACACTAGATGCTGTTCCAAGACTTCTATTCAGAACACGTTAGCATAGTCTCTCGAGACTGAAGGATGCCTACATGTATTGCATTTAATATTTTTAATCTTTTATAGCCCATATTTTATTAGGCATTTTATCTTTTGTTATTATGTCTCACAGTTATCGATTATGTGGTTGTTATTGAGGTTGTCTCTGTTATTCTGATCTGTTTGCCACCCTAATTGTGTATGATAAATAATCAAACAAGAAAACAAATAGATAAACAAATAAATTTACATTAATCCTCTCCTGATCTAGAATGCAGTTGTCATAACCCATACTCACCCTGTTATAACAGATTATGAATTCACCCAATTGGTGAGCCAAGATACGTCTACGGTCAAACAGGGCTAAGCGTCGACTTGGGAGCAGCATTCTCAAAGACTGTTGAAGATTGCTAGCTGCTCGCTTCAAAAAGCGAACCACCAGCTCCTACCACAGAGAGCAAAGAAGACAAGTAAAACTACCTTCCTATTTTTCACTCTAAGAAACAGTATTGAACGAGTGCCTGGAATAATAGAAATTGTCTTGCAAAAGTGTCAAAAGTAAAATAAAATAAAATAAAAAGACTGAATCTATGGGCGAACAGGTGCCCAGAATTAAGTTTAGAGGTTCCAGCTGTTGTGTGGCACAATTTTACATTATGTTCTGACTACTTATACGTACTCTTATTACCATTATGCAACTCTGGCAACATCTCTGATAATACTCTCTGTGCCTCATACTTTGTATCAGCTCTGGGCAGAAAACCACACCACCCCCTTCCACTATTTCACAGTCAATGGTACAGAAAATAGCCCTCCCTGAAAAGAGAGCAGTCAAGCAAGAAGTTAGCTGTGAGTGTTTAGTTTCAAACACAATCTGTCTCCAGTCTGGATTTACTTTTGGTTAGGTGCCCTACTAAACATGCAAATGAACTACTTCATAGCCAAAGCGTTGAATTTCACAGCTTGCCTCTCACTAGTATTATATTAGGTTGGTTTGATCTGTTATTTTAAACATTATTTTTCACAGAATAGCAGACAAAGCAGCTCTCACAGAGCCAGTTTCAATTTTCCACTTGGAAAGAGCAGGGTAACATTTTCCACTGAGGCAAACTGATTATTCCCAATTCCTGACATAAGGTTTTTAATCTATGAGCTAGACTGGCTTGTTCCTCATAGCCTGTTCTCACAGTCTCCATTCAGGCTAAGAAAACTGCTAGCTGAGGAAAAATACTAGAAATGTGGACAGATTTCGTTAAATGCTGCAAGGCAGCTGCTTCTTATACAGCAGTGGTTCAGCTAGTGTCTGGGGAGTCAGCAGACAACACAAAGTCATGTCTAGAAACCAAATTCTGTATGAACAATTTAAGATGTGAGAATAGGGGAATTTATGTGAAAAGGAGGTGGAAGTTAGAAACAGCTCCCATTTGAACCATGCACTATTTGGCTGGGTTTGCCTCCTGTGGAATCCAAACACTCCTTACTACTTGCTTTGGGAAGCAACCACACACGCTGGTCCAAAGAGAGGTCTCAAATCATTTGAGTAACAGCAGCAGGATGAGTTAGTCTTGCAACAGTTAACTGTATTTAGCATTCTTGCACAACTGTAGCTGATGGGAATCAGCTTCAAACAGCATTCCTGATTCAGGAATGCTGAGTAGGATCAGCTGGATTCCTCCCTGAAAAGAGCTTGGAAAGCAGCACAGTTCTTACCATTTGCTCATCCTCCTTGGCAGCCCAGGCAGGATTATGGACCTGATCTCCAGCCTCTTTCATCAGGCGCAGCTGGACACGATGTAGGTATGCAGAGAAAGCCCTGCGAGCCTGAACTTTGCTGTAAAAGCAGAGAGGCACAGTCAGAAATACATTTCACCAACATTGAGAACCCTTCAGGATAGACTGTCAGCTGCTATGGAGCAAAGGGATGCTCCGGAACAGTGGTTCCCTACCTTTTGACACTTGTGTACCCGCTGGCAGCCCTTTTCTATAAATTGCACACTTTATATTAGCAAAATGTTTGCAATTCATATAGCTGCTGTTATTTCAAATATAGATGTTACAACTGCAAATAAATAGCCCAATAATAGGATTAAAAAGCAATGAAATAATACAGTGAAGAAACAGTGCCTATATTAAAAGATACAATGAATTCAAGTGCAGTAAATATATCACAGAAGGCTTGGAAGAACTCACTCATGGACTACTGTATATATATGTGTGTGTGTGTGTGTGTCTATATATACATATATAGACACACACAGAGAGACAGATGCAACAGCACTAAAATGTTTGCAAACTGGAGGAGAGTGAAATCTGAGCCTACAAGACATGCTGAGCATGTGCACTGTAAAGGCATCTTCACAACACTTTGTTTAGGGAGGAGCTCCACAGCATTCACCAAAATAACAAAACAAGGGAACAGGGCTTTTCTCAAGGTTAAATGACAAAGAAAGTTGTTGATGTAGTTTATGTTTGTTTGTTGCCTTTTTCTTTTTTGTTATATTAACTAAAAACAAAAACAAAGAAAACTTACTTCGCCACTCATACCAAAGTTCAATTAATTACACAACTTTTGACTTGCATGTTATCTTACACTGTTGATGTACCGTATTTTTCGCACCATAAGACGCACTTTTTCCCCACAAAACAGGGGGGTGGAAAGTCTGTGCGTCTTATGGAGCGAAGAAAACAGATTATATTTTCCTGTTTTCTTCTCCTAAAAAATTGGTGCGTCTTATGGAAAGGTGCGTCTTATGGAGCGAAAAATACGGTATGTGCCTTCTGCCATTATTCAAAATTTTCTGTGTACCCCTAAATGTCCTGGTTTGTACCCTTGGGTATACATGTACCTCAGGTTGAAAACCACTGCTCTAGAAGAATAGTCTCCCAAGCTTAGGTTTCCAGATGTTCTTGGGCTATAATTCCCATATATCCTGGTCTGTGCTATTAATTGTAAAGACTCCTGGGAGTTTTAGTCCAGAACCATCTGGGGACACAAGGTTGTAACTACTGCTCTAGAGTCAGAATCACCAAGTGAAGGCCCTAAGCTGGACAGCCAAGGCAGACTGGCCCAAACACAGGTCATGTTCCCAAAAATAATTTTCACATCATCTACCAGTTGAAGGACAATTCATCAACAACATACAGTAGTTGTAGCACACTCTGAAGTCACAATCTCTTCCTCAGCACTAAAACATAATGGAGGCCTCCCATATTTTCCAGAATGAATGATAAAGACTAGCACAAGCTTTAGACAAGGATGTCCCCTCTAAAAAACAAAACTCTGTGTCACAAATTCAAAACTTCCAGTTCTTCCACATTTTTGGGCTAGCATATACAGGTGCTTTACAGAACAAGCTAGAATTCAAGAATAGAGTTTTCAGCTTATTTCTCCTTCAACGTTAACAAATCTGTTGTTCCAGGCAGGTGAGTTGTCATATCTGGCTTGATGCCACTTTCAGCTGCTACACAAAATAAAGATCACTCAAGAACCACTTTATTCTTAACTTTTCATTTATTTTCCATTGGAAATCCCCACACCATTCCTTGTTCTGAAGCACTTTGAGAAGCAAGCCACCCAACTGTTGCAGCAGAATAGCATATGAAGCAGCAGAGAAAAGACCTGAACTCAATGGGCAAAGTCTGTCGTGTCTCACTATCATTCTGTTGTTGTTGCGTGCTGTCAAGCTGATTTAAACTTATGATGAACCTATGAATTAGCAACCTCCAAAAAGCCGTATCATTAAGAGCCCAGTGTAGTTCTTGCAAAGTTAATTATTTATTCAGCCATCTTGTGTTCAATCTTCTTATTTTTCTATTATCTACTAGTATTCTACACATACGTGCAGGAAAACATCAAACAAGCATTACTCCCCATCATCATTCTCACTACAGTACTTCTTATCAAAGTGTGTTCTCGCTTCACTTTTGATTTACAAGCCACAAAACATTTGGACACAGTCATATTTAGGACAGGACACATAATATGGGCACTAAGCAAAGGGTGATCGACAATAATGGCAGCATCCATCAACCTACATTTACTGTTTAGGATAGAGACTAAATCATAAATTTTATCGAGAGAACTCTTCTACAATCTACAGATTGGATATAGGGGGGAAAGTATATCAATATTAGGTAGTAATAGTGCTTTTTGGGCCAGAAGATGCTTTTATTTCTTAAACTGTAAACTGCATATGTTTATGAAGTACAAATTATATCTTTCACATTCTTAATCAATACAAAAACTGGGCTCATTCTTTTTATACAAATATCAAGATAGCCAAGCTTTTTTTTTAATTCAGAGGTGCTCACATTTCTAAGATCTTTATATTTACAGGAGAAATTTCTCTCTCTTGCTCGCTCGCTCTCAGGTACAGTATGTTAGTCCAAATTTTTTATACAGTAGTGCCTCGCTTAACGAGTGCCCCGTTTAACGAAAAATCTGCATAGCGATGAGTTTTTTGTGATCGCAAAAGCGATCGCATTGCGATGTTTTATATGGCAAAACATCGCTTTGCAATGATCGGTAAGCGTTTCGCTTACCGATTTTCGCATAGTGATGTTTTAAAAACAGCTGATTGGCGGTTCCAAAATGGCCGCCAGGAAAACTGTCCGCCCGCAGTGTTTTTGCGCCCTTTCCTTGCTTACCGGGCAGCGAAAATGGCAGCTAGATGGAGGATTTCCACATAGCGGTGAGTTTTTTCCCCCATAGGAATGCATTAAATATGTTTTAATGCGTTCCTATGGGGGGGGTTCCCGCATAGCGACGAATCCGGATAGCAACAATGTTTTCAGCACTGATTTTCGTCACTATGCAGCGCACCACTGTAATCCGGCCGTTCCCGGACTTCTGGAAGTCCGGGAACAGCCTGGGTAAGCAGCGCGGAGAGGCTTCAAGCTTCCTGATTCACCCCCCAGCCTGTCCCCAGAGCTCGGAAGGGAATTGTCGGCAGGGGACGGTGGCTTCGGGGTCCTTCCGAGGCCGCAGCCCACTGCCGACATTTTCCCCCAGCTGAGCAGCGGGGCTTGGATCCGAGCCGCGGCGGCTACCCCAGCCAATTGGAACGGATTAACCGGTTTTCAATGCATTCCTATGGGAAATGGTGCTTCACATAACGATGTTTTCACATAACGTTTTTTTTTCTGGAACCAATTAACATCGTTATGCGAGGCACCACTGTATTCTATTAAAGTTTTAATTTGTCCATATGTTAGCAAATGCTCAATAAAAGGGAAACATTGTTCAATGAATTCATCTTTTGTTTCTTTCTTCACTTGTAGATCCCCTGCTAATTTGTCCATTGTTGCCACTGCCCACACTTGCTGTAGCCAGCTGCTTGTAAACAGCTTGTTCAGGTATTTTCAATATCATAGAATATGTTCTTGATGTTTATTCATTAGTTTTTCATTTTACCCCATGAATAGAGATAATAACAATAGTTCATTTTTGTATTCTGTTGGCTGACCAGTTATTTTATTAATTTACCTTACTATGCTCTGTCCATATTCTCACCTTTTGGGGCATTTAAGCCACATGTAGGCTGGTGAAATTTAAGCTTTTGTCCTTTCCAGCACAGAGGTTACATTTTCTTAAATATTTTGAGTTTCATGATGTTTTGGTGCCATCTATATTATCAGAGTCTGTCACATATTTGCCAATGCGGATTGGAGACAAGAAAGGGTCAGAGGCTTTTTCACTAAGGGCACCATCCCATGGGCAAAGAGAACTACAGTTAAATTGATTTAAGTGTTATTTAAATTGAATTATAATTTCTCCTGCACACAATGCACTAGTGAAATTGATTTATTTGGGCTCCAAAGTAAGTTTTTTTCCCAACCAACCAGCAGGGATTTTTCAAAGTAACTCGTTTTAAATAGTTTTAAATCAGTTTGGTTCAGTGTATGTGGATGGTTTGATCAGTTTACATTATGCCCCTATTTACTGTCATCAGCATTCTATTCTCTCTCTCTCCTCCTTCCCTTCCTCCCTCTCTTAATTTGTAACAGTACTATTTAGCAATGCATCAGTTACTCCCTTGTAATGTTCTTGGTTGAGTGGAGCCATCAATTTGTCACTGTATCACTTTTAAAAAAACTTTAAAAGGCAAATGGTACAAAAAAACAGCTCCTAAAGAAAAAAAATTCACCGATTTCATCCATTTACACTCCAAAACTTGTTTAAATCACAAGAAATAAACCGATTTCTATTCAGTGAACACAGGGACCAAATTAAATATCATGAGACTTGAACCCGATTTTAAAAAAGCCTGAACAGATATCAATTCAAATTGCCAGTGGAACTACTACACCCAAAGATTAACTAAACTGTTATTTGTATCAATTTCTGGGGGGAGCCTCCGAAGGATCCTGGAAGGCACTCTTGGACCCTTTGAAGCCTCCCCCTGTGCCCCACAAGGCCAGCGGGGGCAAAATTGCCAGCTTCCAGGACCCTTCTGAGGCTTGGAAAGCCTCAGAAGGGTCCTGGCAGGTCGCTATTTCGCCCCCGCTGGCTCTGCAGGGGTGGGTTGATAGGGGGAGCCTCCAAAGGGTCCTGGAAGGCACTCTCGGACCCTTCTGAGGCTCCCCCCACCATTCCCCCTGCTGGGCCCTGGAGAGCACTGTTTTACAGTATTCGCTTCCTAAGACGCAGACACTTTCCCCTCACTTTTTTGAGGGGGGAAGTGTGTCTTATAGAGCGAAAAATATGGGACTTTGTTTCACTTTATAAATTGAACATATAGGCACTGGCCTTTTTATCCAATGTATCAGGAATACACAACCATCTCCTTCCTCTTCAGGATCCCTCTGAAACTTAAATATTGTTGTTGCCTTTTTTTCCCCCTGAATCCTCCAGATTACTATAAAGCAAATCTGTTGTTTGTGCAATCCTGGCTGTTTAATTCCTATTTCATGCTTTACTCTCATGCACTGCTATCCTGGAAGACGACCTACACTGGGAATTAGACAGAGGGAGTGTGTCCCTGTTGGCCCTGCTGGATCTTCAGCAACTTTCAGTTTTATCAACAATGTATTCTCTGATTTTATTATTTATTTAAAACATTTTTATCACACCTTTCTCCTTAAAAAGGACCCAAGGTGGCTTACATGCTTGAAAGACAATATTTAAAACTGAAAACAATGAGTATACAACAGTGGTTTACATCATTAAGACAATATTTAAAGCTGAGAACAGTAAGTATAAAGAGGCAGCTTACGTCATTCAAAGACAATACTGAAGCTAAAACATTAAATATGCAAATACTAAAAAGGAACAAACAAATACCATTCTGAGAGATGGTAAGCACAAATAGTATTAAAGGAGAGAGAGAGAATAACAGCTGCTATTAATAGGCTGCCAAAAAACAACAACAACAACAAAGGACTGGAGTCCCCACTATTCATTTCTATGGATGAAGTGAAATGGAAACCAATCATCAGCCGAAATTATATGGTGATTAGTCATTACACCCAAATCATGTTTGTCTTCTAGAAACAGTCTTTCATGCTGAAATCAGATTTGATTATATTCTCAAGACTGGTCATAAAATAAAACAAGCTAATTAGAAAACTTCAAGATTTAAGAGAAGTTCCTGCTATGACAATCACATACACTCAGGATTTTTCCATTCTAATGACTGGTAATCTCTAACGTATTATTTTGGCCTGGATAGTAATACAGACATGATCTTTGGACTTAGTCATTTTTACATTAGAGGAAAAGGGATTTTACTACATGGGAACCAAGAATTCTGCTTTTGATATGGAAAATGCAGCATTCAGTTTGCAACAGTGGACAGCTAGATGTTTCAGGGAAACTTAAAACCAGGGTGTGGGCGTAACATCCAAGCCCAGCAACCAGAGTTGGTTTTGTTACCACCAACCCAAACCTTCTAGACATTCCACCTACTGTACAACAGCCACCACTCTCCTCTCACGATACAATCTTATTCATCTAGCAATGACAGAGGCAATATGAGCCATAGATTCCATTGTAAAATTGCCCACAAAAAGGAAATGGGTGTCTTCCATTTTTGACATCTCAGAATGCAATGTCTGATGTCAGGGCATTTCAGAACATTAAAACAAAGAGGGTACCTACCTTAAATACGATTTAAGCACCTGGTAGCTTCCTTTCAGTCAATTATGTCACTAACATAATTGTTGCACCAACAGCCTACCCAAAAAGAAAAAGGCTAACAATAGCTACATGAGTAGTGCTATCAATAAGGGTAGTCAGAGATACAGCACTGGAGCAGCATGCTGGGCGGGGGAGGATAAACAAATTGGACCCATGGGATGGTTTCTGGATGGCTGGGTTCCTCTGGAAGTGGCAGGGTAGAGGTTCACAGAGGATCACCTTCTGCCCTTCTATTTGATTTTTTTAAGGCTGTGTGTCAGTCTTAACTCTTTTGTCTTTTGGGCTATTTTATTAATAGACCCAGCTCTATAGGTGTTAAAAAGCAGTAAGTGAACCAGTTCTTTTCAATAAATACGGAGCACCTAGGGTGAGGATGTGTGGCTGTTCTCTGCCTTTCATCCACCATAGTATTCTCAATGCTTTAATCAAATACAGAGCTCTTCCACTACTTGTCAATTCACCATAGTAAACATAAACAGACAAATTGGTCAAGTCAGGATTATTTTCTTGCACAACAAAGGAGAGTAGAAAGGAGTGATGCCACAGGTGAGATGCATATCTCTCAGGTTGTGTCTATGAATTTTAAAAGAAATGTAGTTCACCATAAATTGAAGTTGTAACCTGCATAAATTATGAAAATAAATCCTTCCCCCCCCCCCACGTAACTTGCTGTGGTATGCTACTAGTAAGGATGCTTTTATTACCTGTTGCTTTGTTATGCCTCATACTGTAAACTGCCCAGAGTGGCCCTCGGCTAGAAGGGAGGTATATAAATTAAAATTGTAGTGACAATTTCTATGACATTCACTATTAAGAAAATTCTGGGCTCATAGTAACTGGACTCTCTTGTGTAAAAACCACAATATACATAATCATACATTCCACAAGCAGAGAAGGGACTCCGTCTTACATATTCTATCCTTAAAATAGTTACTATAATCAAAACATGCCCAGCGGTGACTTTTACCTTAGATTCTTGTTCTCTTGAAGAATCTGTAGCAAATTAAATGGAAGTTCAGCATCCTTTGGAGTAGACCCTGTTTTGTCTTGAATTGGTAGCCCATCAGGTCTACGTTTCTGTTCAGGATTCTTTGGCAATTTGCTTAGCTGGGCTGGCTCCACCTGCTCTGACACTTGTGGTTTAAGTTTCACCTGCATATTCTTAAGACTACCAGCTGTTTCACCATGATTTATCTCCAGTTCTTCATCCTCCTCTGCTGTCTCTTCTTCCTCTTCACATTCTACTTCTGACTTGAGGACAAAATCAGTTGACTGTGACATCCCTGTTAAGAGTCAAGAGATACCCAGTTCTCAACATTTTAACATAGTAAAGGGTAGAAGAAAAAAATCAAGTGCTCCTATACAACATCCAGTACTTACCTCCATGTAATCACGAACTAGCTACAGTGCTACGTCAACTTCCGAATGTCCCTACTTATGAGCATTTCGACTTATGAACAGCTCTGTTCGCAAAATGTTGCTTCAACTTGTGAGCGGAGCTTCCACTTACGAATGGAAACAGGCAGGGAAAAATGGCGGGCAATTCAAATTTCTAACTGTAGGTGGCGCCGAGACTGCTTCTTTGTGCTGGAGCTCTTTCAGCAGTTATAGGGTGTGTTGCAGTTGGAGGCTTGGGAGAGCCTCCTGCTTTGGAATGAGCCTATGTGTGTGTCTGCAGGGAGGTAAGCTGCTGTTTTCTCCTTTAAAAAAACTGTTCTGGGTGGGTTTTGGTGGCTCTGCTTCGGAATGAGTGTGTGTGTGTGTGTGTGTGTGAGTGTGTGTGTGTGTGTGTGTGTGTGTGTGCAGGTGTGTCTGCAGGTGTGTCTGCAGGGAGGGTTTGTTTCTGTGCTCTGCTTCGGAGCAAGCGAGTGTGTGTGTGTGTGTGTGTGTTTGGAGTTTTTGTGCTTCGACTTACTAATGTTTTGAGTTACGGACACTGTTCCAATACGGATTAAGTTCGTAAGTCGAGGTACCACTGTACTAAGAACAGACAGATCAAACAGAACATATACACATATTACCCTTTCAACTGCTCAGGAGATACAACCTACACAAGCAAGATAAGCTCATCATCCCTTGAAACCATATTGTTGTTGTTGCTGTTACATGCTGTCAAGTCAGAACAGACTCATAGCAAGCCTAAGAGGGTTTTCAAGGCAAATGAGATATTTAAGGAGTGATTTTACCAGCTCCACTTCCCCAGTCAGTTTCCATGGCTGACTGGGGATTTATACCCTGTTCTCCCGAATTCTAGTCCATCATTCTATCCACTATATCTCAATGGAAGGCACTGAATCCCTGTACCCAAGTTACATTACAAGAAAATGATCAAGACCCGCATGTACCTGACAGTCTTGACTTTCCCGATCTCAGTTTCCCAAGACGCCGTCTTCGTTTCCGTACTTCTAGTGACAAGAGTTTTCGCTCATACAGGGCAGCATGAAGCTGGGCATTACAATCTGCAATGTCTAGACCCAGTTCTCTAGCAAGAGTTAAACTGCAAGACGAACACAGGCAAAATTTCCAATTCTTTTGTTCTCCAGCTATGTTTAGTAAAATGTACATGTTGGCCTCCTTGAACATATAACTTGCCTCTCTCACTAAACAGTCACTAGATGTAACTTTTAGGGTCAAGAACAATCTAAGCAAATACCAAAAAAAAGGTACCATTAGCTAGCAATATTCCTTGAACATACTCCATATACAGTCACACCAAAGGAAGCAAATGCCCCGGATTCAACTCAGTCTGTTCTACTCTTTTGGAAAGCTATTTGGGTTCAAAAAGAAACAAAAAGACTGGTATGCTAATAACACTAAACAAAAGGAAACAAATCCTGAAAACTTGTTCCAGGCTAACTGAAAGACTTTATCTCCCAATATGAACTCCCCAGGTTTTAAGATCCTTGAGAAGAATTTTCTCTCAATCCCGCAGCCCTTGAATGCAATGTGCAGTGTGTGTGTAAGACAAGGCCACTCCAAGGCCGTGGAATTCTCAGGGGAAACCAGGCATGGCTCCCTTTTGTCCTTCTGCAGATAGCCAAAGACCCTTAGGTTGGCTTTTAAAAAGTAAATCACTGCTAAGGAACAGATCTTAATGGTAGTGCTGTTTCCTTTATCTGTTAGATAAATTCTTTTAAAAGAGTTTTAATATGCATGTTTAATGATTAATATATTTAAGTTTTTAAAATGTTGTAGCTTAATGACTTTGTAATTGTTTTAATAGTTTTAAAATTCTGCGTAAGCTGTCTTGCAGCAACTAGGACTGCTGGGAGAAAGAATAAATTAAATAAATCTATAAAAGAATTAACAAATAAGTAACTTGAAATGTCCACTTTAATAGGCCAAGGTAATGTGAAAAGCTCTAAAAATTGAACACTTCAATTAATGCCCTTTATATGGATTTTATATATGGCTTCCTGTCATGCCAAAATGTGTTACCTTAACATTTTATACCACAGCAATGTCAAGAACCATATTATTTTGAGAAGCTGGTAGAGATAAACAAGGTTCTTTGGCAGTCAAGTATCTGGCAGTTCTGTAAGCAGTCCTTCTATGGAGGGAATTAGATGAGTTTATAAAGTTTGGTCACCAAACTTGCCTAGGTCTTTATTTTATGTCTAAAAATCTTAGTGAAATCCAGCTATTTTGTTTGCTTCGAGGTGTATGCACAAACATTTCCTTTCCTTTGTTGATTAAAAGCAGATACTTTTCAAATCCTAATTCCACATCTTTGAACTAATGGATAAGGGAAGTCATCTGTGAATGATTAAAGGAATGTGTGATATTTTGGCAAATTACTCTTTGCCTAGTTATGGAATTTCTTTAATTATTTTCTGTGCCACATTCCAGGTAGAACTTTTCAGGGTGGCTGACTAAATAGAACATGCATCATCAACACAACAGAAAGAACACCATGATGCTGTAGGAGAAGAGAAAACAACAAACTGCCATGTTAATAAGTCTAAAAATGGATGGCTCAGCAATTAAAGAATGTTTTATTTTCATCTCCTGTAAAGCACAGCACAGAATAAAATAATATTTAACTGTCCAGTGTAAGTCTTGTCATGCTGCTTGTAATCTACAGGAACTGGCCAAAATTCAATTTCTATCTCAGTGAAAGACTCGTTTTTCTCTCAAAAACAAAAGGCAAAGAATTCAAAAAGATGGTTTTCTAAGCATCAGAGGGAGTGCTGGATTCTCTGCTGCTCAGAGAATGCTCAGAAAAACACAAGCAGAGGTTGCTTTTCCATACTTTGCTCTTCTAAGGAGATAGATGTTACACTCCATTGTTAAGGAAAAGTTTTTTTAAAAGATACTTCTTGCTACAACCAGATATTTGAAGGCTTCCTGTTCAGATGCCACGAGGTGTATAGAAAACATGCACTGACATTCTTATGCTGTTGACATTTTGTTTTGAACTCTGTCATTTATACTAAAGCGAAATCAACTCTGATTTCTTTTTAAAAACATTAATTTTACTTTTTAACAGAAATTCCATGACTGAAGTCTCTAAGCTTTACAAGAGTAGATTGAAAGGCAAAGGCTAGAAAGGGCTGTCCAAGTGCAGCACAAAGAATGATAGAATCTCCCAGAAGAGAGCAGGCAGTCTGTACTCAGAAGCTGAAAGGAAGCAGATCCCCAAAGAGTTTACAGTTGTTCAACATTCCCTGAAGTGATATATAAAGAAGAAAGGGAGCTAGAAGAAGGGATAAATGCAAACATTACCTTCCTCTACATCAAATGAAATGAAAAATGCTGAGGAAGAACTTATATGCCTCCAGAATTCTGCAAATTCTCTGTGCTCAATGCAGGAAAAGACATCGCCATAATTGTCTCCTTAGGGATTATGCTGTGACCTGTAATTTTTTCTAAATCAGAAACTGTATACTATGTAAGTGGAAAAGGAAAGGAATGTGAAGCTCCAATTTAAAAGGCTTTGAATTTCTGATTAGCAAAAAATCATAGCAAAGCTATGTGTAAAGTCAATGCCAGGAACAGTAAAACTGAGAGGTTACTTTGTTACCTGCAGTCAGAGTTGAGGCATCTAGTGGCAATGTGCCCACTTTGTAAGTCAGAGCCTCTAAAGAGGAAAAAGAACAGGAATTGTGTGATTTCAGATACTGAACCTTTGATTATAGATTATTAACAATATCTCCTGCACCTATTGTACATATCTTACTTAATCTATTTTATGATCCAGCAGGATCAAAGTGTAAGAGTATACAGCTATATATATTATTTAGCCAGGATTAAAACTTATTTCTGAATGATAGGTAGCTTTGATTAATTAAATACTGTATCTGTTAATACTATGTGTCTCACCACCATGCAGCAGCATATAGAGAAGACTGTGGGCAAAATCCTTGTAAATCCTAATCAGTTTTAAGACTATTGCACTTGCCATATGGTGCTTGTTGTTTTCATCTGGGAAACGCCTCAGTTTTACAGTTAATTTATTAAAGTTTTGTATTCCTTATATTCTGCTGGTCACAGATATCTTAGCAAAACCCAATAGCTGACGGCTACCAGCATTCACGATAGAAGCCAAACGGAAGAAATTTTGGTCATGAAAGTTTGTAGTTTAAAAAATGTGGCAGAGGCAGATATCACATAAATGTATTTGTGTGTGGTTCTCAGTGTCTCCGTCAGAGCTATAATACAGTGAAACATCAATATTTGAACCTAGGCAATGAATACTAAGGGGACACTAGCAGCGTACACCTAAGGATTATTTAGCTTTAAAAGTGGATCAATTGATTTTAATTAATAAAAACACAACTTTCACCTGCAACATCAACTATAGGCATTCGGTAACTCCTTACGAAACAACTTTAGTCACTAGGCGATTAATACTCTGTAAGCAGAGAGGAAGCTGGGGCCTCATCTTAAACATCCATGCCTCCAGAGGATATTTAGGCAACTCTTCCCTTCTCAGATCTCCCAAGCGCTTTGAACAGTAATGGGGGGGTGGGGGGTGGGAATAGATTTTGTTGGCTGGTAAGGTGAGTATGGAAATTGAATAGAGAAAAAGGCTGAACTAGCAGCTAGATGGAGAAAGAGAAAAACCAGGAAGAAATAAAATGGAGATAAGAGGCCTGAAGAAAAAGAGAAGGTGCATGAACATGAGGGTAGAATTGGTTTCCTAACAGTGGTTTCCGGCCCCTACAGAACTTAGTACTCCCACTAGTGGATTATAAAATAATGCTGGTTTATTCTAACATTAGCCAGCAGATAAACCAGATTAAGCAAAGACAACAATGGATGAAACATTTACCTCAAGAAAATGAAGGAAAAACATTCAAATAAAAGCGCTCAGGCCATCTGTCCAATTATATAATCAAAACTGCTTCAGAAACAAACAAAATTTAAACTAAAGGTTGTTGTTGTTTAGTCGTTAAGTCATGTCTAACTCTTCGTGACCCCATGGACCAGAGCACACCAGGCCCTCCTGTCTTTCATCGCCTCCTGGAGTTTGGTCAAATTCATGTTGGTAGCTTCAATGACACTGTCCAAACATCTCATCCTCTGTTGTCCCCTTCCCCTCACACTTCCCCAACATCAGGGTCTTTTCCAGGGAGTCTTCTCTTCTCATGAGATGGCCAAAGTATTGGAGCCTCAGCTTCAGGATCTGTCCTTCCAGGGAGCACTCAGGGTTGGTTTCCTTCAGAATGGATAGGTTTGATCTCCTTGCAGTCCAGAGGACTCTCAAGAGTCTCCTCCAGCACCAAAATTCTAAAGCATCCATTCTTTGGCGATCAGCCTTCTTTATGGTCCAGCTCTCACTTCCATACATCGCTATTGGAAAAACCATAGCTTTGACTATGCGGACCTCTGTCAGCAAGGTGATGTCTCTGCTTTTTAAGATGCTGTTTAGGTTTGTCATTGCTTTCCTCCCAAGAAGCAGGTGTCTTTTAATTTTGTTGCTGCTGTCCCCATCTGCAGTGATCATGAAGAAAGTAAAATCTGTCACTGCCTCCATATCTTCCCCTTCAATTTGTCAGGTGACAGGACCAGTGGCCATGATCTTAGTTTTTTGATGTTCAGCTTCAGACCATTTTTGGCACTCTCCTTTCCCAATTTTGACCCATTCATTTGTTCCATATCCAGTTTTTAACTGTTGCTTCCTGTCCCACATATAGATTTCCCAGGAAACAGATAAGGTGGTCAGGCACTCCTATTTCTTTAAGAACGTGCCATAGTTTGCTGTGGTCCACACAGTCAAAAGCTTTTGCATAGTCAATGAAGCAGATGTTTTTCTGGAACTCTCTGGCTTTCTCCATAATCCAGCACATGTTAGCAATTTGGTCTCGAGGTCCTATACCCCTTCGAAATCCAGCTTTTACTTCTGGGAGTTCTCGGTCCACATACTGCTGAAGCCTACCTACCTTGTAGGATTTGGACCATAACCTTGCTAGCATGTGAAATGAGTGCTATTGTACTGGAGCATTCTTTGGCACTGCCCTTCTTTGGGATTGGGATGTAGACTGATCTTTTCCAATCCTCTGGCGACTGCTGAGTTTTCGATACTTGCTGGCATACTGGGTGTAGCATCTTCACAGCGTCATCTTTTAAGATTCCAAATAGTTCAACTGGAATGCCATCACCTCCACTGGTCTTGTTGTTAGCCATGCTTTCTAAGGCCCACTTGACTTCACTCTCCAGAAGTCTGGTTCAAAATCAACAATCACACTATCTGGGTTGTCCAGGACATCCAGATCTTTCTGGTATAATTCCTCTGTGTATTCTTTCTTTGGTGTCAGTTCTAGAAAGTGTTGTAAGTCTTCATAGAATTGGTCAATTTCGGCCTCTTCAGCATCGGTGGTTGGATTACTCGGATTGTATCCCAGTACAGCTTTTCCCACTCTTTTGTTGACCATGAGGGCTACTCCATTTCTTCTATGGGATTCTTGCCTGCAATAGTCCGTCTTGGGTGTCCCTGCACGGCATAACACACAGCTTCTCTGAATTACTCAAGCCCCTTTGCCACGACAAGGCAGCAATCTGTGAAGGGGGATTGAAGGTACTGCTCTTTTAAGTGACATTCTCAATACCTTAGTAATTTTTAGGAATGCTGCACCAGAGTTTACATAATTTTCACCTGAAGACAAATTTTTGGTTAAATTGGAACAGAGTGAACAGCCGTCAAACCAGCTTATATAATACTATTCATTGAGAGTCTTTTACAAGAGAACAAGGCTTTTTCCTGACATAAGAAGCCATGTTTCAACCCTAAAATAACAACTTCATGATACAAATTTTAATATTGGCTATTATGATTTAATAGCTTTAATACAAGGTGCTTACCGAGTCTGCCTAGGAATCAGACCTCTTCTTGGACCTCCTCTGGAAAGAAAAAAAAAGATTCTGATGAAACCACAAAAAAATCAAAGAAATAAAGAGCTACAAATGGATTATAATGTTGGAAAACTTGAGTACCATTTGAAGTAAAGTAGTGCTGCCTTGGGTCAGAATAATATCTACCTAGTGCAATTATCAGATGCTGGAGATCAGCAGTAAGAAAACAGGGCAAAGGCTAATAGAATTTTGTCAAGAGAACGAACTGGTCATCACAAATACTCTTTTTCAACAACACAAGAGGAGGATGGACATCGCCAGATGGGCAATACAGAAATCACATTGATTATGTTCTCTGCAGCCAAAGATGGAGAAGCTCTATAAAGTCAGCAAAAACAAGACCTGGGGCCGATTGTTGCTCATCAGCTTCTTATAGCAAAATTCATACTTAAACTGAAGAAAGTAGGAAAAACCACTGGGGTAGGCAGGTATAAAGGTAAAGGTAAAGGTTCCCCTTGACAATTTGTCCAGTTGTGTCCAACCCTAGGGGGCAGTGCTAATCTCCATTTCCAACCCATAGAGCCAGCGTCTGTCCGAAGACAATCTTCAATAGTCACGTGGCCAGCGCGACTAGACATGAAATGTCATGTCAGGTATAATCTAAACCAAATCCCTTATGAGTACACGGTGGAAGTGAAGAACAGATTTAAGGAACTAGTTGGTTGACAGAGTGCCTGAATAACTATGGCTGGAGGCTTGTAACACTGTACAGGAGGCAGCAAAAAACCATCCCAAAGAAAAGGAAATGCAAGAAAGCAAAGTGGCTGTCAAACGAGGCCTTACAAATAGCAGAGAAGAGAAGGGAAACCAAATGCAAGGGAGATAGAGAAAGTTACAGAAAATTAAATGCAGACTTCCAAAGAATAGCAAGGAGAGACAAGAGGGCCTTCTTAAATGAACAGTGCAAAGAAATAGAGGAAAATAATAGAAAGGGAAAAACCAGAG